TACTGGAACCAGGAATAAATAAAAATATCAGTGAATTCTATAAATATCTATAATTAGGCCTACTGATTTCTGGCGGCTCCTAGTGGATGCCACAACCTGGTTTGAGGTTTTAAAAGGGCGTTAAAGGCTTCTAAGCTGGGGCGGGGGGGGGGGGATTTAGCAAGTTAAAGATGAAGCTTTTGCAAGGAATCAGAATGGGAAATCGATATAAAGAGCCAGTCGAACCCATTGTCTAATATCTATGGGAACTTTTAAAGAATCATTCATCGAATATTTCTACTGATGACACAACTGGTGGACACGGTGTTGGATATACCACCTATACCACGGCGCATATGGTAGACAGTAGGGTTTCGCGGTGCGTGGTATTAAGTCCTCATGTCAAGGATAAAATCGGAGTAGGTAGGTAGGCGCCGAGGAGTATTGTTGCTTTTATATAGGGGGATAGTGAGATAAAGATAACAAATGGATGAGCATACACATACATACACACACCACACACACACACACACACACACACACACACACACACACACACACACACACACACATATATATAATATATATATATATATATATATATATATATATATATATATATATATATATATCATATATATGTATAAGCACACACACTCACACACAACACACACACAACACACACAACACACACACACACACACACACACACACACACACATATATATATATATATATATATATATATATACAATTTTCAAATCTTGCTTCTTTCACAGAATTTAGCTCCCGACGACGACTTCGACCTGGAAATAGCTGTTACAACACAATCCAATAGTCAGAATATTTGCAAGAGAGAAAATGGAAAAGCAAATAAATAAAAAGATACATTCATCTGTGTATATCATAAAAAAAAAAAACTTATACCCATATACAAACATATTCATATATATGCATATATATGTATGTACATAAATGTACGCACACACACACGCACATATATATGTGTGCATGTGTGTATATATGTATATATATACATATATATATATATATTATATATATATACATATACACATATGTATATGTAAATATATATATATATATATATATATATATATATATATATATATATATATATATATATATATATATATATATATATATCAAGAAGGGAAACACCAGGGCTGGGACCGTCATATTTATTATGCGATGTTTCGGATTCATTAACTTAAATCCCTTCTCAAGCCATTCTATTGGGAGAAAGTACAATATAAGGACACTATAAAATAACATAAAAATCATAAGTGGGCGTTACAAAATTAGATAACTTAAAATAAACTGATAAAACAAGTAAAAAGGATAAAACTAAAGTAATACTAAAACTTGTTAAAACACCAAAAATGATTAACATAGATAGTACAAAAAGAAATTAATACAGATAAAACAAAAACGTGTATGGATAAAAAACAGAACAAAACGAAACATAAGAAAAATAAAATACACAACCAAAAGGACACTACTTACGGTTATTCGTTTAACTTTAAAAACACAAGAGTGGTGTGAAGGTTTCATTATTACTGAGAGAGTTTATGTATATATGTTAGTATGCTCTCCATGATAGGAGCTGTTGGTGGTATGGTGTGCTTGCCAAGACTGAAAAATCTTTGCGATGTATGGGGTGATCTGTGTCAATTGCGTGATTACTGATTGCTGAAAAGGGTGGTTTTGTCATTTGGGTGCCAGTTCTGTCGGAAATATCCAGATGCTGTGAGATGCGTGTTTTCAAGTGTTTAGTGGTTTTACCGATCGATATATGATGCCTTACAGCTATCGCACGTATATTTGTAAACAATGTTAGATTTTTTAATTCAGTGTGTATTATGTCTTTGAACTTGAAAAGGTATTTAAAGGTGTTCTTTGTTCTGAAAATAAACATTTAATTTGATCTGTGGGTAGAATTCACTGACTATTTTGGATACTTTTTGTTTTGATTGGAGGGTGGGTGGACCTGTGCAGATCACGGGAAAGGAAAGTACTTTCTTTGGTACCGTAATATTTTACTGATACATCGGTAAAACTCTGAACATCTTGAGCAACAAGCATTCCAACATTCCAAATGACCAAACCACCCTTCTCAGCAATCAGTAATCACGCAATTGACACAGATCACCCCATACATCGCAAAGATTTTTCAGTGTTGGCAAGCACACCATACCACCAGCAGCTCCTAATCATGGAGGCTATACTAACATATATCCATACACCAACTCTCAGTAATAATGAAACCTTCACACCACTCTTGTGCTTTTAAAGTTAAACGAATGACCGTAAGTAGTGTCTTTTTGGCAGTGTATTTTATTTTTCTTATGTTTCGTTTTTTATTCATACATTTTTTTTTTTTTTCTGTATTTACGTTATTTTTGTACTGGTCATCTATGTTAACTTTTTTTGTGTGTGTTTTAACAAGTTTTAGTATTACTTTAGTTTTATCCTTTTACTTGTTTTATCAGTTTATTTTAAGTTATCTTATTTTGTAACGCCCACTTAGGATTTGTATGTTATTTTATATTTTCCTTATATTGTACTTTCTCCCA